GAGCTAAACAGGCCTGCTGTGCTACACGCATCAGAGTACGAACATTAAATGTGGCTAGTTTGAACGGGCATTGAGAACGAAGGTCTTCAACTGGTGAAAAACTCCGTGAGACTTAGACAATAGTCTTGGTAGGACACGTCAGAATACCTGCACTGTTTCCACCTGAGGCACTACTGTTAGTACGATTGTATGAAGAATCCGAGAGAGGTGGTGTGTTAGGGAAATGAAGGTGAAATGAGGCTCGGTTGTTGAAACCTGATTGTGTGCATGGTGCAGAGTGTTTATCGCTGAGTAAAGAAGCTGTAGACTAGGCAGATGTAAGATTCGAGAAATGCATCATTGCGTGCGTGATAGGCTGTTATATTACTCGGACCTCGGTCCAGTTTAGGCCTTATTTAAGAGTGTGCTTCATTCTTTGCGCAACCAAGCGCGCACCGCAAGACAGTAGTGATATTGCAGATTAGCCAGCGGCGCGATATAATAGCCGATTGACGGTAGGTTTTCTGCATAGATCCTTATCTCTCTTTTGCCGTTTATCAATAACGGCGCATCAACGCACAGGATTGCGAGAAATTTACTACAAGAAAAGAGTTCATACTGGTAGCCCCATTCATTAGAACCATGTACGAGCTCATAGGACAAGAACACAGATAGCCTGTTCTGAATGCTGTTCATGTACTCGCGCCACGGTCACATGTGGGGATAAAATCGATGTAATCTAACAGTTAAGAACATGTGGATATTTATGGCTTTGTGCAAGTGACATGTTTTCTTGTAGCCCAGGTGCAGGAATAATTTAGACATTTGTAGTAGTCATAGTGCTAGTAGTTATTGCGATTTCCGATACTTTTCCCCTATTCTTTAGTGCAGTTACAAGTTCAGAAAATGAACCAGCTCATTCCGTGGCACAAATGAAAGCCATCGGATTATGTGCAGTCATTGAATCTTTTTGATGCCATCCAGACTGCGGAAAGCATCGCTTTCTGATGCATGAACTGGAAACTGTCTACTCAGTGCAAAACCTTGTGGTATTGTACGAGAAAATCATTGTCTACTGCCTGCCACTGGAAGTACGCTTAGGTAACTGGTATGAAAACACCCAACCGATCAAAATTTTGCCAGTTCCACTCCGTTGTTATCCGTCTCATATACCTCTCAGTCCGATATTGTTTAGCGAGATGCTTCTCGGTAAGTAACGCAATATCGTTTTCATTGTAGCTGTGTTTTTGCGACATGTATGTTGGAATGAGATTGAAATACGTAACGAGGGATGACGTTCAAAATCCATCTACCTCAAGGAAGCACATCAATCTAGTGCTACGCTCGTAATGTAAGCATCCAAGTGGAACTATATACACATAACAGACTTGGTATCACAACCACATTTAACGTCAGTAAATGATCTCTTCTGCAAAAGTTGGGTTGATATCAATCATCATTTGCTTGATGTAACGCTGCTTCCCCGAAATTGACACTTGGCAACAAGTGGACTCAAGGGATTTGTCCCATGGCTTTCATTCAGACAGATGTGATCGACCGAAAATGCAAACTGCTGGCTGCTTAAAGTGCACGAAAGCTGGTCATCACAATATGTTGATCTTCATAAGAATTCACCAAGATTTGGCTTCCTTTATATCCATAGTAATAATAGCGTTACTGATAAACCACTTTTCCTCAAAACATTCCATCTAGGGTTGGGTTGTGGGAATGAGTACCTCTACTTTTCTACAGTTCGCTCTTGCACAACGATTAATTGAATTCACGAATGAATCCATAAGGAAGCTACAGAATAGAATTTCAGTTGCTATTCAAAGTGGCACTTGGCCTTTATTATCGAGGCTGCTCTGCATAATCAAGCAGTGCCTGTTGAACTGGTAGCCATTGCTTTGTTTTGTGGTGTGCCAGATTCGCACAGGTCGCGATAATTTCTAAAGAGATACTTGGGTTTCTGCTGCAGTGATCTCTTACAGGGGGAACTAAAGACAGATTGCTCGCAACCCTTTATCTCGCGAAACAATGTTTGTCCATGCACCGTAAACAACTTCAGTTGAAACCTTTTCCTCGATATGACTGTTAACGTTGTCCCTATTCCGAACCGTGTAATACTTGAAATTCACATTTCCTTGTGGGAATGTGCGTCATGATTAATTGTTTTCTCGAAACAAATGAACTTTTGTTCATTCTGTATGAATTCACTGTAATAATCTCCTAACCGGTTACTCTCTTTTTTTTAATTGTAACCATGATTTCATTTGTTCTCCACACTCCGTCCACCCCATTCCAAACAACTGAACTTCCAGATCCGATTCTCCAGTTTACAAAACAAATGTGATCGGTGGCATGCGGCGTATCAATTGCTCTGCTCAAAAATCCGACGTTTTCGATCGGATCCGCATCTGTGCCAATATGTAGACGAAGCGATGCGCCCGACTACAATGTCCGCACATAATCGGCGGCGCCGGAGCAGTCTGTTGAATGCATGGCGTTCCACTGCAGGACAGTCAGTTACACCGTCCACCGTGAGCGCGTTGGGTTTGGGCCATTCAGGGACTCCAGATTCACTACTGGGCTCTGCGGAAACTGACGGAACTTGTCTGCGGCGCACAACTCAACTGGCTACCGTACCGGACGTGATGGACGAGGTCATGGCTGAGGTGGAGGCTGAACGGGCAGATGAAGCAAAAGCACAACGTGTTAATGCTACCGAATGGGCACCGACAGCTCCCACAATAAGTTCACAGTTGACAGGTACTAACTCGGATAAGGTGTGCGCAACCACCAGGGTAGGACATTGGAAGGATCCGCAACAGGTAAATTTCTGAAGAGTTTAGAGAATGTTTTTTTTCCAAAATCAAGCCTCAGAACGAACAAATGCCTTACCTGATGAACTGTTTAGATTATTCTTTTTTAACAATACTTCATAAACGTGCCGGGTCATCAAGTAATCAGTTTTTGTTTGATGACCGCTTATATCGTTCTTTGTGTCAAAACAAATAACTAAAATGAGATTTCGAAACTTTGATATCTCGTTGTTTTCTTCGGAAACGATGTCTACAGAACTAACCCACGGCTCAGTCCTATTGACGATATTATGTTTCCTTCTATATACCTTTGAAAACAATCATCAAGCATATGGACTGTGTAGTGTGATTCACACTGGTCAAGCGACAAATGAGGTTGTCCCGGATATCTAGATATCTTCCTTTGCAACGAACATTGAATTTATCTTGCTTTTGATCTATACCGGTCCACTAGACATTTTGTCTATTGATGTTATTTCTTCGGGGTCGTCAGTGCGTAACCATTTTCTGCGGTTAGTTCACACTATCCCGAAGTCGGTTTTTATGGACCCACGTGAATAAGATAAATACAAATGATGGAATTTTTTGTTGCATGTTTATTCATCAAATGCACACACTGTCAATATTTTTTCTTATTCCTTGCATTGAACTTTGCTTCTTCTCATTGTTTCTGTTTTAGCCGAACAGTACAGATTTCAATGTGGCCTTGTTCATATTGAAGGTATGTCACATTCTTTGCTTCGGTAGTTTGGCTCCGCCGAATTTTTTTTGATTCACTATCCTCATCTGTCAGGGATGCTCATTGTATTGTGATCGCTGGTTAAAACCTAATCGCTTTGTCATTTTTTTGTCAAGGCTGATGAGGACCTCATCTTATCTCAACTTGGTCTCGCTCCAACTACTTCCATCAATCTGAATGGGATATCCTCCGTTCGTCGTCATACGGTTCAGTTGGTAGCCTCACCACTTACAGCGTTCCGACCCGTGCCACCTACGGAGGCCCTAGTTCAACCACCGAACATTAAGTCTGATTCGAATTCCCGGGCTACCGGGACAGACCATCCAAGGGCCGATGGTGAGACCATTGCGGGCTCTGGCCCGACGCCGTTGGATGTTCAGCAAACAACTGAAGGTGGTGTGCGCGTAGATGACTCCGAGGTTACCGGAGCCAGATTGATGGAGCTTTCTGGTCAACGGGTAATGACACATCGCTTCCCCAGACAGACGACCCAACCACATATCGGGGCGTTTCAACAGTTGAAGAACAAGGCGTTTCAACCGGAGCAACTCATACGGGTGCGTTCCTCATTTGGTCTGAAATTTGTCAGCCAAATTGGGTATAATGGTAATTCGATGACATCATGTGACCAGTAATTAAACTTCTGCTTTATAGTTAATCATGCCTATAGGTGCTTCTTAAGTTATATTCAATCAATTTGTTTACCTAACACGACTCGATAAACGGATCGTTTTCAAATTTCCTCAGACTACCCTGGACTGGCTACCTAGTCCTTGGGGTTCTAGTTTTNNNGAATCGAACCAATAAAAATACCGGTGAAGCTGGCAACACAAGGTCTTCAACCGGACTTTGTGCAAAAGCGTTACCCTCTTTGGAACTCGGTGATGAGGCGTCTACTGCTAGCAAACCGCCAGCCGAAACGCGGCGTGTTCGCCCTGGTCTACAGCGTCGAAACTCTGTGCAGGAATACGAAGATGAGTTAGATCCACCGTGTCTGACGACCCAACAATCTTCTGCACCAGCTGAATCGGACAGTGAAGATGAATTGGCTCGACTTCAAGCTACTGAGAAGCACATTCTTACACAGAGTACGTTGGACAATACACCGGCATTTGTGGCAAATGCTGGCCAACTCGGATATGGTGAGCAAATTTTCGTTCGCGAATTACCATATTCCCCTTATTGTCTAGGTCTTTTATTATTGTCATTAAGCTTCGAAACTTGATCGACTGCTGGTCCCTGCTTTTGCTTCGTTAGGTAGAAACAGTGAAATGTTATAGTGTCTTTCATCCAAGCATTATAAAGGAAAATGAGAACAACACGGCAAAAGTGAGCGTACCGACTGATATCGCTGATGAGATGCTCCACACAATAAGGTGTGTGAGCGCTGTTATGCCTGATACCTGGATGCGTCGTCCACACAGTAGACAGAAACTCGATTCCGGCTGTTCATGTGCAGTAGATCCATAACATGAGTGAAATTCTACAGCATCTTTCAACGAAAGATCGCATTGGGATAGAATACCTGCGACTGAGTTACACAGCGAAGAAGGAAATTCAGTATCCACGGAAAAATATGCGTTTTCGGGTTTTCAAAGCTTGGCAAAGAAATGGTTAATGCTGGTCTAAAACCAACCTGATTCTCACTGATACAATCTTTGCGCATGACGTGAGCCTAATGGATATATCTTACTGAGTCGACTCCGGTATGGTTTCATATCTTCGTCCCAACTCGGTGAGTTAACAGCTCGACATTAATTTCAGCGAAGGTTTTGTTTGGAAAAATTTTCTTTGACTTCATAATTATGGGTTTAGCTCTGTTTGAAAGTGATGCAAACCAAGTCGCCCCCCCCCGATGTTTCTCAAATTTTCGCCGGCTCGCATAGAGATATCTGTCCTTGTGTAGTTATGTACTCCGAAAGAGTCAGAGAATCCTTTCAATCGAGTTGGGTCGTTAAATGGTATGCCTATCGATCCAGATTATGTTGCCGGGAGTGAACTCATCCTCTTTTGGACTCTTTGATTTGCCCACCCCTAATTTCCATGAGTCAAAAAATACAACCTTCTCTGTTTCTTTGGGTCATTAGGGGTGGGTGGGGGGATGGTTGTGTCGTATGTCGTATAGGTCATGGAAGACCGAGTGTT